AGAAAGGCTACGCCCGTGCCGCCAAGGGTTTTGGGGGGGGGGGGGAGAAGCAGCAATTGACAAGTGTAAAAGGTGGTTGGCGGTCCCCTCCTCTCTCCCAAGTTCCCCAACCAGACTATAGAATCATTTGTTGGTATTGCAATTAGCTCTCTTTCCTCCTCATCAGATGCAGACCGTTGCACCAGATGTCCAGAAGATCAGCATCCAAACAAGGAGCGAGATCAATGTGTCTTCAAGTTTATCACCTTTCTCTCCTATCAAGAAACTTTGGGGATCACCCTGATCTCCTTTGTCCTACTCTTGTCCTTAATTACTGGTCTTGTGTTAGGAATATTTCTCAAATTCCTAGAAACTCCAGTCGTCAAAGCCAACAACCGGGACCTCTCCTTCCTTCTCCTCGTCTCCCTCCTGCTTTCCTTTGCATCCTCCTTCCTTTTTATTGGCCAGCCAACGAAAGCCACCTGTCTCCTCCGACAAACAGCCTCCAGCCTCATCTTCACAGTTGCCATCTCTTGTGTCTTGGCCAAAACCATCACTGTGGTGCTGGCCTTCCTGGCCACCAAGCCGGGGAGCAGGACAAAGAGGAGGCTGGGGAGGACTCTGTCCAACACCATCGTCCTTTCTTGCTCTGGTGTTCAAGGGGTGATCTGCTCCATCTGGTTGGGCATCTCCCCGCCATTCCCGGATTCCAACCTCCACTCCCAGCCCGGAGAGATCATCCTGCAATGCAATGAGGGGTCTGTGGCCATGTTCTACACGGCCCTTGGCTACCTGGGTCTCCTGGCTACCGTCTGCTTCGTGGTGGCCTTCCTGGCCAGGAAGCTGCCTGGGGCCTTCAACGAGGCCAAGCTGATCGCCTTCAGCATGATGGTTTTCTGCAGTGTTTGGGTGTCTTTCATACCCACCTACCTGAGCACCAGGGGGAAGTACATGGTGGCCGTCCAGGTCTTCTCCATCCTGGCCTCCGGGGCTGGGCTTGTGGGCTGCATCTTTATCCCCAAGTGCTACATCCTTGTGCTGAGGCCTCACCTGAACACCAAGGAGCATCTCATGATGAAATGTAACAAAAAGAAAACTAATCTTAAGAAATTCTGATGACTTACGAGCTTGTGACTTTCTCATTACAGCAGCTGTGCGGACTACTATGCCGCCGCTGATGATGAGGATGATAAGAGTTCATCTGAATGTCTGAGAAAATATCTCCCCTTTGATCTGAAAGAGTTACTCCATTTCCCTGAAAACATTCCAGACGTAACTGATGTCCCAGTGTTCCAGAAAGTTATCTCTTCCTATCTGTAAACAGGTTCTCAACTTCTGGTTGAATCCCCTCCTTGCCTTGTCCAGGTTCTGGGGGTCCCCCTCCTTCTCTCTGCCACACTCTCCATGGAAATATGGCTGAGCCGACCCTTTTATCTGTGGTACGGTCTCTTTCCGTGCCCCATCCCTCAAACACCTTGCAATGCCTGAGATCCCCGCCCAGACCCAGGATTTAGCTTGAAATGCCAGAGCCAACAGCATACCCTGAACAGAGGAAAGGTCAAGGACCTCAGGCTGGAGGAAAACACAAAACTGCATTAACTGGTCAACGGGCTACACAACTGCTAAAACTCTACTAAAAGTGTCCGATCACAGAGATACTCCCTGCCACGCATCCCATGGGTCACGTCAGAGTACACCATCTCCCTCTAAAGCAGGGGTCCCCAACCTTGGGCCTCCAGATGGACTTCAACTCCCAGAAATTCTGGCCAGCAGAGATGGTGGTGAAGGCTTCTGGGAGTTGTAGTCCAAGAACATCTGGAGGCCCAAGGTTGAGGACCAGTGCTCTAAAGGACACTACAAATGCACAGCATTTGAACAGCTTAGCCCACTCTTGGAATGGGCTCTCTTCTCTAGGTCGGGTCCAGCATAGAGGGCTCATTGTCAGGATGATTTGCTGTTTGCAAATCATTGTAAAAAAAAGAGACAAGTTTCTCTGCAGAGTCCGCCACATCATTTCCAAGGTTCTCTGTAGAGTCTGCCACATCAGACTGCAGGTGAAGTTGTACCTTCACGTTCAGCCCCTCTATCCAGAATGAAACTACACTGGGATTCCTCAGGAACAATTCCCAAACTTGGAAGCATCAGGAAGCACTTCAGCAACTTCCTTTTTTACATCAAGAAAGGGAAGGGAAGGCCATGCGGCCTCTGAGGTAGGCCCTGCTCTAGGTGAGAGAAATCCTCCCTTAAAGCCTCCCTAGTCTTCGGTCTTTTGTGAGGCTTGGAGAAGCCCGTTATTGCATCCAAGAGCCAACACAGAAGTGTGAGTCCTGGGGTAAATACTTTGCATGCTTCTCACTAGTATCTTGCTAGTAGCCACAGACTCTTCCAAACGCCTCCTTAAACCCTTCAGATAATCTGAGGGGATTTAGCATGCCTGTTTCAGTCTCAACGGCTAGAAAGGCCAACTAAGTAGCAGGTCCCTCTGTCTTTTCTTCCGTCAGAGGAACCCCCAACTCACTAACTGGCCCAAACAACCCCAAAAGGCCCCACACTGGCATGGCCCTAGTGGCCCAGCAAACAGGAAGTCATCAAACTATTGAGTCGTGTGTGCCAGGCCTCACCGACACCAGGCAGCTCATTCCAAGAACATACTAAACTGTACAGTGAGCATCCCATAGTAAGGGGTCAGCCCATATGTCGCGACTGCCACCTCCTTCTACGTCACCACAAAAGATGACAGGTCACGATCCTTCACATACACACACAGTACTTCGCTGCCACCAACCACACATAAACCTGACACTTCAGACTTTGTATGGATTTTAAAATAAAATGAAGATTTATTGTATACAGAAATAAAATTGTAAATCACTCAGTAAAAGAATCACTTATTAAACTATATTTCTCAGACCTTAACCCTGCACAGTTCTTGGTTACTTAACACACAGTTACCTAACCTATACCTAACCCTGTCACTCTCCAACTCTCTAATTCCCCAACAACAACCTCTTCCCTCTTTGCACACCCCCCTTATATACACAAGCTCCACCCCTATAAGACCCACCTCCTGCCTTGCCATAGGCCAGGAAACTCCAGCCTTAGCCAAGACAGGCAGGTGACGTCATGGCACACGTCACATACCTTCCCCCTTTAATAAGTTGTTTTGTGGGGGAAAGCTAAGGTGCTTTTTCC